AATTACACACCAATGACCAATAAAGTAAGATCCTTTTCTCAGCTGTAAATCTGCCACAAAAATTCGAGGCTAAAAGTAAGATATACTAAAGATAAAATTAAAGAAGGAATAATTAATATACCATTTGAAAAGAAAAAGGATGATCAAAAGAATACATCTTTACAGGCACCCAGATCTGAAGAAAAATCAATATTAGAATCCCAGCCAATAAATTGCAAATTCTTGTTCTATAATCACAATGATCAATACCCAAAACCAGGTAGATCAAGCAAATGTCAAGAACTCAATTAAAAGAGGAACCCCTATGCTAATATTTGCCAAATCAGTATTATTATCAAGACAAGAATGTACATTGGCACGCAGAGAAAAAAATTTAACAATTGTATGCTTGTTAAAGAAAGAGAAAGAGGTTATATTAACCTCTTCCCTCGAAATGGGGAAGTATAGTGGGAGATGGGGTGGGTATAGGATAAGAAATAGGACTAGAAAATGATGCACAGGACAAGAAAAGCTTCTCTCATTTACATTTTTTTTTACCCTTCTTTTTTTATTTTTTATTTTTTTTTAACTTTTCCACCGGATGTCCAATACACACATTGAGACCCGATCAATTCAAATTCATACCAAAAAATTCCACTTTGGAGGTATAGTTGCTTCCTATCAATGACGACTCTATTTGCATGGCTTAAACTCGAAATTTCTAGTTAAGAACGAAAGGGTATTTACCATTGGTGGACCATAACTTTTGGTAATTTTTTCTTTTTCTTTTTGTATCTCTTTCCTTCCCATTCCTAATTTTGCTTTTTCCTTCTTTTTGACCCTTCTCTTTCCCTGTGGCCCCAACAACAACCTTTTATCCCTCTCACGGGAGTGCCATGGTCAGCCAAGCTGGATATATTACACAGATAGTCACAGCCCCTCTGTCTTGTTCCTTCTCTCCCACACCCAACTCCTTTTCATGAAAGTGAATTCAGTTACACTCAAACTTACACGTAAGGTAACTATACACAAGATAGTTTCTCAAAAATAAATAAATTGGATTTCTTATTTTTTTTTATAATAACGGTAGCGTTCAAGTTAGCTTGTAGGCACCTAATTAATTTCACCGGTACCTATTACCTCTTACGAGTACAAGTATCAAATAACTCGTTGGAGCAGATGCGAAGAAATCAACGACTAATATTATTTTTTGAGTACCTGGGATTTGAACTCCACTTTAATTACGAGGTCATACTTGAATCAACAAGCAAATAAGCCTTCAATCATTTTTTTCAAGATTAACTCCATTTCGGTGCTTTAACTAAATAATAATTAGGACAATGATTTAAAATTATAATAAAACTTTTGTTTGTTTCCCAATCACAATCCTGCTAAAAGGAATAAAGAAATAATTAAGCAAGCAAATGATAGATAAATATATAGGGTTATGGGGGCGGAAATGGAGGACCACGTGCAAGTAAGATCATTGTCCATCCCCATGAACTCTCAGTGTCATAAATGCACTTAAAAAATTATTCATATCTATGTAAAAAACCTATATACATTTCTTTACACTAACAAGCGTACATCGATAAAAGAAGAAATCCAAAAAATAAATATTTCTTATGTTGACTATTTCCCTTGTTTAGTGGATTTTAGGAACAAAAACCAATGAAATATTGAGAATATATTGAAATCATAAGGAAAATAGATCTAAATAATGTGGTATGGCAGATTTTGTTCCTGATTCTGTGAACATTTGCATTATTCATGTACAGTCACCATAAAGATGGTTCAGAAACTAGAAACAAATTAGTCCTAAGTAGTAGTATTCTTTTTGCCTACAAATAGAAACAGAGTGATGAAACAGAATTTAACACAAAACTCAGTAAATTTTCAAACATATAATGATAAAATAAGATTCCTTTTATTTCTTTAGACATATGAAGTACCACATTAGATTCGAGGAAAGCATAAAATCATTTGAAAGTTCAAAAAAATTGAACAAAAGGAAGCTAAACAGAAATCTTGATCGGAACCCTAGCAAAATAGACACAAAAAGGAAGCTAAACAGGAAAAAAATCCCAAATTTAAACAAAAACGTCTAATCTTCCCTATAAAATTAAAAAACTTAATAAAATTGTCAAAATATGACAAACAAGTTTCCTTTTTTAGAATATGAAATCACACAGCATGAAATTCGAAAAACACGGGAAACAAAGATAAAAATGTTCTAATCCAACTGAAAGTTTCGTTTTTTAATACATGATCATAACCCTAGCAAATAGAGACAGAAAAAATATCTAAAATCCAGAAAAAATCCGAAATTTAATTTAAAATTTTCATTTTTTTTTGTAAAAAAATATATTCTAATTTCTATAACAAAAGAAAAATAAGTTCAAAAATACTGGTTTACATAATCAACGATGAACAAATAGACGCAAAAATGTATTATTCGCAGAGCAAATTCAAACCTTAACAAGTAATTAATTAATCAAACCGACACGTAAAGCACTGCTAATCGAAGTCACCGGACGAAAGCCGCTGTTAATTTGCCGGCAAAAACACGTAATCGCGTACGAATTTCAAATACATATATATCACGTGTATATAATATTCGCAGAACAAATTCAAATGCGGAAATCAAAACTAACCAGTAATTAATTAAATAATCAAACCGACACATTAGCAGTGATCATCAAAGTCGCCGCCGGACGATAGCCGCCGTTAATTTTCCGGCGACGATACGTTAATTAACCGTATAATATGGTTGGGGAGAGAGAGGAGGAGAAGAAAAAGAAGAAGATGTAGTTGGTTTCTTTTTTGGCGCCACCCAATTTTGATTAGTAAAATAGGCCAACAAACTCAAACTATTTTGTCTATTTTTCTCTTTATTAATAATAATAATTAATTAATTAATAATTAATAACGATATCATCTTCGGGAATTCCGCGATTTGACGTCTTCTACTTTTCTTTTTCTTTGTTTTCGACTTTAAAACAAAAAATTTCTTTTTAATAACATAATACTACTTATCAAGGGGTATTATCACTTTTAGACCACACAAGAAATTATTTATATTTAGTAGCCAAAAAAATATATAAAATTTATATAATTTTTGTATATAACATACCGAATGTATATATATGCAAAAAATATATAAATTTTATACTTTTTTGGCTATTATTTTTACAGCCGCTATACAGTACATTTTTAGATTATCAAATCAGTTTGCACACACCTTAATTATTTATTATATGTTATCTGCCATAGCACATGTATCAGGTCACCAATGCGGAGTTAATCTATTAGATACGGGTTCAGTTGAATATCGTCACTTTTTCAATATATATATATTGCAAACTCAATAACTAAAATAAGTTGTGAGTTTCATAATAAATTTGAATAAATAAATTTTAAATTCTAGCTCCGCTTCTGTCAGTAAGTGAAACTTCTATCGGTAATAAGATATTAAAAAAGTTTGAATTGATATGCATGAGTTGTGTTTCTCGAGGGTGGACACAATTTTAAAAGAAGGGTTCAAAACGAAAAATAAAATAATTAACGTCATCTTAATTATTGTAATTTATTTACAATTAACAAATTAAGTTTTTTTTTTTTTTTTTTTTTTTGCTTCAAGTATCTGAATCCAAAGACTACGTCTTTGTTTAATTTGGTTTTCCATAAAGGTCATTAAGAAAAGTAAAGTATTTTTTTTTTTTTTGAAAATTTTATATTTAACATTCGAACTTAAAACCTTTAATTAAGTAAAAAAAAAAAAAAATTGTTATCATCACATCACATCATTAAAGGGTACAACTCAAGTAGCTAGCTAGTATTCCTATACTTGAACTAAGGATTTTATTTTTGTCAAATCATAGTAGGTTGGCTCAAAGGAAGTGACCAATTCCTTTTCCTTATTAGTTCATCAAAGTTTAATCGATCGTCTATCGAAAATAATTTATCCATCTCATCGAAATACCGGTAAAGTCTGTGTATACTTTATCCTCTTCGGACCTTACACAGTGAAAATACGTTAAATATGTTGTTGTTACTGTAGTGGTTTAACAAAGTCTCATTAGGGGTGCATTAAGTGGAGTTAATACTTTTTAAAACCTAAAGTAATTGAGATGAGTTTGACAATTACCAACTATACTTTATTATTTAAGTGGTGTTTGTCAAACAGGGAGAGGAACATCAACTTCTGAAATGAAAGTCTTTCAACTTGGAAAGCATGATTAGCACATTATTGACTAGAATATATGATGATGCTAAAAATTGTAAATAAAACTTAGGACCCATTTGTCCATAATCTTTTTTTTTTTTTTTTTTACTTTCGATTTTTTTTAAAAAAAGTGTTTGTCCATGAATTTTAAGTTCTTGGAAAAAAATCAAAAATGAGTTTTTCAAAAACCAAAAAGTGATTTTGACCACTTTTTAAAAAAAATTAATATTTTTCCCCCACTCACAAAACTATAATATTTTTTCAAGTGAATACATGACCAAACATAAATTCAAATTTCGAATACTATTTTTCAACTTAACTCCAAATACTATTTTTTATAAAAAATTATAGTAATTTTTATGTCCAAACTCCTACTAAGTTTTTTCCTCAACAAGCCAATTTTTCAAGTCAAATATTATATAATCTCGAGTTAGTGATATCCTTTTTCATATACTATGAATGTACGTATACAAGTCAAGGGAGGAGCTAGCTAGAGTACTACGAGGTCAGACGAACTCAATAAAAGTTGTTTAGATTCGGTATTTATATTAGAAACTTATTTAATATGTATAAATATTTAAGTGCGAATCCACTAACTAAGTCGAACTATGAATTTGTGGCAAGTCCAGGAACCATAAACTTTAAATTCTGATGCCGTCCCAAGTCAGGGTTGAACCGTGCGTCAACTTTTTCATCAAGAATTATATTTTATCTTCTTTTTCTTTTTCTATTTTTCTGTTTTGGTTGTGTGTAATTCTCTTCTAATTTTTTTTCTTCTTCTTTTTGAGGTGTGTTTCTTGCTTGACTTAATTTCTATGCTTTTCATTCTTTTTTCGGTTTTCCATTTTTAATTTGGTGGGGAAAGGGAACGAGGTACGTGGAAGATAAATTATGATTAGTCATGTTGATGATTTTACATCATTTTAACTTGATAAAAAATCAATAAAGGACCACTTGCTTTAATTTAAGTCCATGAAATTGATATAATTGATCATGATGAGTCCATATCACGGGGAGCTCAAGATTTGTATCAAAATTTAGTCCCCCCCCAAACTTTTAACTTTTGTTGTGGCCTATAGCATTAAGGTTACTTCACCTCTTAGCCACTAAAATTAGTTATCTTTTTGGGGTATATTCTATTTATTTTACATTTAGAATTGGAATATTATTCAATAATAGAGAATATTAACTAGTAATTAAGAATGTACCAATAAGAATTATGGTGAAGCGCTAAATATGTTTTCATCCTTAATCAAATATCTCAGGTTAAAGTTTGAGTATGAAATTGCATTCATAAGAAATCGCTTCAATATCTATGTGGGACTTTCCAGTGAATTTAATCGTGCTCCCAATATTTGTATCGGACACAGTACGAAAAACTAAAAATAATGTAATAATGTGAATGTAATAGTCATTGTTGGGACCAAACATACACACAAGTATACGTGGTCGTCAAGTAATAAAGTGACTCGAAAGTCGGATGTCGAACCCGTAGAGACTTAGATTGATCTTTAATTAAGCAAACTAAAAATAATTAATTGTCCAAGATAATCAAGAGCGATATTTTCTATTTGTCTACTGTTGCGGAATCTAAACAAATAACAACTAAATCAACAAGAATGCAAATGGGTATGATGAGACTCTAATTCAGAGGAGATGAAGATACCAGGGTTGCTGTTGGTTTATCAATCCTATTAAGTTCAATAATCACACTCGTTAATCCAGATTATCTATGGTTGCTAATTAACCAGATCATTTATATGAATAGCATGTTCCCACATTACTACTCGCCTGCCCACAATATATTAATCCTATATTCCTATGGTATTGAGTCTATCATGAATGAATATAGTACGGTATTTAATTAAGCAAGCCTGTTAGGTATATTCCTATCCTAACCGCTAAATCTTCCCCCGAGCCACGGGTTCAGAAACAAGCTCTCTCTAATTCTACTCTAATCTAAACACGGCTTTCCCAAGCATAGCATAGATAGTAAATAGAACTCAACTGCTGGCCAGACAATTAAGCAATTATGCACAGAATTAGAGAAACAACCACAAGATGATAATCCGAATTAACGAAGGTGTAGTTAATAAACGTTAATAATCATGTCAACCACAGCCCTAGAACGTGAAGTTTAGCTCTACATAGACATGGTAGCAAAACAACAAATCATCAAGACAAAGTAAAGATTACTAAGTTTGATGGAAGAAATATGAAATCTGATAAATTCCTGCCCCCACGGCGGCTCCGTGCTATCCCTTGATCTAATCTCAAGTCTCCCTAGGTCTAATATGTGTCAAAAGTCCTCAAAATAGCATTTTTATATGTATTTATACCAAGTAGGGTTGGGCCCAGACGAAACACCCTTTCCTGCGCGAAATAGGCTCTGGCTCTGTAAAATTTGCACAGGCGCGCCGCATGGGGCGACACGCCACGCGGTGTGCTTATGGAGAAGCTCAGAGAGCTGATTTTGACAGGCTGCAGGAAAGTTCCACAGACGCTGCGCGCACCGCGGCGCACCAAGCGCCGCAGTAGTGGGAATTCGCAAAAATGTAAAACATAAAAGTTGTAGCACTTTCAAATAGCTTTCCAACGATATAATGTGGAGCCCAAACGAAGTTATGTGCATTTTACAAGACAATGCACCATATGCCCGCTCGATTCTCCGTTTCGTTCTTAACTATCATCTATTGATCCCCGAACACGATCCCAGCTTGATTCCTCGGGCTTTTATTCAGACTTCAAAGCTCCAAATCACTTGAATTCATTCCATAATATCTACATAGTTTGAAATCACTTCTACAAGGCATAAAGTACACAATTAGTGCAAAACACTAGCGATTGAAGTTCAAACTCAATTAAAGTGCAGTATATTAGAGTGTAATAAACGACTAAAATACATAATTATAGCCTATCATCAACACCCCAAGCTTAAACCATTGCTCGTCCTCGAGCAATTAAACTACACTTTATATAGACACGACCTTTTTTTAAACAATTCTCCTAACTCATCACACCATGAATATTTGAAATAGACTAAGCACAAGAGTGTAACATCTTCACCTCAAGATTTGACTCACAGGTACCACGCATTATTCACAACTCACCCACTTACTCTAACATAGAGGTCACTGACATTACCTTTTCTTCATGAATCAAGTGTCCTCACACAACAAAAGAGAGTAGTTCCACACAATAAAATTTAAGAACACTTAGGAACTCAAGATAGAAAGAATTCACTCACTCTCAGAAATAATATTCATATGCCACAAAAGATGCACCATAGGGTTGCCCGTAGTGTACTACTCTACTAATCGAGCTCATTCAGTCTAAGATCAATTAGGACATTATTTGATTGTAATGTAGGCTGCGGGACGGGTATGATACATTTAGATATAAGAGTGACTACACTTCCCTAAGCACTTTAATACATACACTTTAACATTTAAAATCCCACACTTATGTCAAACCATAACTCCACCTTCACATCAATATATATTAACTCCATACTTCTTTAAGCACAAGTATATCACTAGCCACCACCATCAAGAATTATTTTTCACAACAATACAACTAATTTTTATTTCTTTTTAATTTAAGTGGCTTTTATTTTTTTTCAACACAGTGCACCTTTCTCTTTATTTCATTAGTTCCACTCAAAAGCCAAACCAACCACCCCACACTTTAACTTTTACAAAGTTCATAGCAATTCAAGTACTCATGAGAGGTGAAAAGGTTCAAATAGATGGTTAATTCAAAGAAATGGGTAAGACTTGTAATGTGGTTGCCAAAGAAACAGGATTACAGGCTCAAAGGGGTTAACTATGATACATAACAATTAGGCGGGTAAAATATATATATGTCTCAACAAAGAAACGCCTATATTACTTCCAAGACTGAACAAAACTACTATTTCGCTTTGCAAATACACGGGGCAAGTTCTAGACTTCAAATGCAATGCACAGAATAACACAAAACCTTACACACACATGGCACATAACTCACTCAGGATTGGACTCATCAAGACACTCTAGTCAAAGCAGTTAAGCAAATTTAAGATCATATGATTTAAGGTACTTATACAAGAGTCAAAAATTGAGCCTAAGCTTCACAACCAAAGTACTCGCTATTCTCAAGGCATAACAAAGTCAAGAGATATTGCTTCAATTCAAACATAGCACAAGGTTTCCTACTTCTAAAAAAATAAAACTGACTACACCCGGTTCAAACAAAACCCTTGGAAAAGAATCGCGGCACAAAGAAAAACCAAGGGGGAATTGCTACACTACCTACAAAGAAAATCTTTTTGTCCCTTTTCTTTAGACTTAAATCCCTCAAGAAAACTGTCTAGGAGATCCATCGTCAGGAAGAGTTCAATTTTTCTATATTCTTTTTTTTTATCATAACTAAAATACTACACAACTACGAAAACAAAAAGCATTTTCTAACGTGCTACTACTAATTATTTAGAGAATTCTCCCACCCCACACTTAAAAAAGTATAGTGTCCCCATTGCACAAATAAAGCCAAAACAATAATGAGGGCGGACAAGAAACTCCCTGAAAGGCCAAAGGCCGAAGCAATAGCGGCTCACTGGATACTCAGACTTCCCTCATGCATGGTCCTTTGTGGGGCACCCCACACTTAGTTCTCACCATCTAGCTCGCTTTTGCACTCGTCCAATGGCTTTGCTTCCTATTCTTATAATCCTACAAAACAAAAAAAAATACTACAAAAATAATGTAATAAAAAAATAAAAATAAAAGAAAGCAGTAAAGATGGGTTGCCTCCCAACAAGCGCCTGGTTTAACGTCGCGGCACGAACTGCTACTATGCTCAGGATGGGCGCTTTCTCTTCTTCTTTACCCCATTAAGTCTAGCCTTTTTACATGCTTTCAGAAGGTCTCCTCTTTCATCTCTGGCTCTTTTCTCAATTATCCTTACACACTCAACTTGCAACACCACATCCTCCAACTCAGTTGTCCCATCCGAATCACTACAATTCACATCAGGGCTCTGCTCTATCCCCTTCTGTTCTACCGCAGTAATCATGCAAAGTCCTCATAATGCTTAGGAAGCTTAAGTGCCTTGTACGCATTAAAAGTGATTTCCTTATCACCAACTCTCATCTTCAACTTCCCTTCCCTAACATCAATAAGCGCTCCACTAGTAGCTAAGAATGGTCGCCCTAGAATAATGGGTACTTCCTCATCTGCCTTGTAATCAAGAACAATAAAATCAGCAGGAAGAATAAACTTTCCCACTCGAACTAACACATCCTCAATAATTCTTTCTGGCATAACTAGTGATCTATCAGCCAACTGCAAAGTGATTGTAGTAGGTCTAAGCACCTCCAATCCGAGTTTCTTGAACAATGAGGATGGCATCAAATTTATACTAGCCCCTAAATCACACAGGGCTCTACCAACTTCTTGTTTTCCAAGAGACAGAGGAATTGTGAAACACCCAGGATCCTTCAACTTAGGAGGCAGTTTACTCTGAACTCTAGCACTGCACTCTTCAGTAAGTGCAACTGTTTCAAACTTTGTATGTCTTTGCTTGTTTGCCACAATATCTCTGAGATACTTGCACACTTAGGCACTTCTTGCAAAATTTCCACCAAAGTCAAATTCATACGCACTTGGCTCAAAATATCTAAGAATTTCTTGTACATAGCATCATCATTTTGCTTTTGCAGTCTTTGTGGAAACGGAGGTGGCGGCCTTGTCACAATTTCTGGCTTTTCTTTCTTATTCTCCTCAACGACCTTAGGAACTAATTCTTCTTTAGGTCCAGTTGTATACTTCTTCTTTTTTTTTCCTGGAATTTCTTCTAATTCTCTTCCATTTCTCAAAGTAACCGCATTGACTTGAGCCTTAGGATTAGGCTCAGTATCACTCGGGAGAGCTCCAACAGGTCAAATATTCTGATTGTTAGCCATTTGCCAAACTGCCTCTCTAGATTTCTGACTCTGTGCGTAATTGTTGATTCTCAGCCCTGACTTGTTGATTTTTAGCCATAACTTTCTGATTGTCTATCAAGAGCTTTTTCATCATGTCAGTCAAATTCTTTTCTGCTCGCTGTGGGGATTGAGATGGATGATTGTAATTCGCTTGAGGCCTGATATTCTGATTTCCACCCCAAGAGAAGTTAGGATGATACCTCCAGTTCGGATTGTATGTGTTACCATATCGAGCATGTTGATTCATCGGCCCTCTAGATTGTTGCCCCACATAGTAGATTGATTTAGGATTCACGGGACATATGTCACTTGTGCGACCTTCACCATATAACTCGCAGCAAGTAGACATCTGTTGCACATGTTGCATCTGTTGTGCTTGGTGTATTGTCATTTTGTTCATCTGATTTGCTAATCTCGCTATATCTGCCCTCAGAGCTGGGAGATCATCAAGCTCAATCACACCTGCTGTATTTTGTTTAAGTGCTCTTCGTGGTTTCCCATCTCCTTGCCAATTATTATCATTAGCAGTAAAACTGTTTAGCAGGATTTGGATCTCTCTGTATGGTCTTGCCATGCAACTACCCCCACATGCTGAGTCAAGATTCATCTTTGATGCCTCGTCCAACCCGTCAACGAAAATGTGACCCAATACCTCATCAGTCTGACAATGATGTGGGCAGTCTCTGAGTAGCTTCTTGTATCTTTCCCAAGCTTGTCGAAGAGTCTCCCCATCTCGTTGTTGAAACCCCAGAATATAGCTCCTCAGTGACTTTGTCTTCTTTGTGGGAAAAAACCTGATTAAGAATTTCCTTGCAAGATCGTCCCAGTTGTGGATTGAGTTCGCGAGATCCTTTTGTAACCATTCCTTAGCTTCCCCCATCAGTGAAAAGGGAAACAGTGTCATCCTGACATAGTCCTTGGAAATGTTGAGTAATTGTAGGTGTCTGTAATTTCCAAGAAGTTCTCGATGTGCTTCTGCGGGTCTTCATGAGATAGACCCACATATTGCCCTGTGGATTGAATCAGCTGTACCATGTACTGTTTGAGTTCAAAGTGACCCGTGATGTCTGGCTTCACAATCGCCTGAGCCATAAGAGCCAGATTGGGCCTTGCAGCTTCTATTAGTGGACGCTCTTCATTGTCTGCCATCTCTATTGGCTGTGGTTGAACTACGATGTCTAACTCTCTTTCGATTCTAGTTCTAGCTTTGACTTCCCTCCTCACTCTGTGGAGTGTTCGTTCGATTTCAGGATCAAGAGGAAGGAGATTGTTTGCGCTTTTACTTCTCCGCATTCAAGAGAAGAGCCTGCCTTATCACAAGCAAAGCAAACTAAAAAAATTAAAGCTTGAACAAATAACAAATAAAATCTTAACTTAACTAAACAATCAATAACTAAGTCCCCGGCAACGGCGCCAAAAACTTGTTGGGACCAAACACACACGCAAGTATATGTGGTCGTCAAGTAATAAAGTGACTCGAAAGTCAAATGTCGAACCCATAGAGACATAGATTGATCGTTAACTAAGCAAACTAAAATTAATTGATTGTCCAAGATAATCAATAGTGATGTTTTTCTATTTGTCTACTATTGCGGAAATTAAACAAATAACAACTAAATCAACAAGAATGCAAATGGGTATGATGAGACTTTAATTCAGAGGAGATGAAGATACCAGGGTTGTGGTTGGTTTATCAATCCTATTAAGTTCAATAATCACACTCGTTAATTCAGATTATCTATGGTTGCTAATTAACCAGATCGTTTATATGAATAACATGTTCCTACATTACTACTCGCCTGTCTACAAGATATCAATCCTATATTCCTACGGTATTGAGTCTATCATGAGCGAATATAGTACGGTATTTAATTAATCAAGACTGTTAGGTATGTTCCTATCCTAACAGCGAAATCTTCCCCCGAGCCACGGGTTCAGAAACAAGCCCTCTCTAACTCTACTTTAATCTGAACACGGCTTTCCCAAGCATAGCATAGATAGTAAATAGAACTCAACTGCTGGCCAGACAATTAAGCAATTATGCACAGAATTAGAGAAACAACCACAAGATGATAATCCAAATTAACGAAGATGTAGTTAATAAACGTAATAATCATGTCAACCACATCCCTAGAACGTGAAGTTTAGCTCCACATAGACATGGTAGCAAAACAATAAATCATCAAGACAAAGTAAAGAATACTAAGTTTGATGGAAGAAATATGGAATCTGATAAATTTCTTCCCCCACGGCGGCTCCGTGCTATCCCTTGATTTAATCTCAGGTCTCCCTAGGTCTAATATGTGTCAAAAGTCCTCAAAATAGCATTTTTATATGTATTTATACCAAGTAGGGTCGAGCCCATACGAAATACCCTTTCCTGCGCGAAATAAGACTCTGGCTCTGTAAAATTTGTACAGGTGCGCCGCATGGGGCGACACGTCATGGTGTGCTTATGGAGAAGTTCAGAGAGCTGATTCTGATAGGGTGCAGGAAAGTTCCACAGGCGCGGCGCGCAAATTTGCAAAAATGCAAAACATGAAAGTTGTAGCCCTTTCAAATAGCTTCCCAACGATATATTGTGGAGCCCAAACGGAGTTATGAGCGAAAAGTTATGTGTATTTTACTAGACAATGCGCTGTATGCCCGCTCGATTCTCCGTTTTCATTCTTAATTATCATCCATTGATCCCCGAACATGATCCCGGCTTGATTCCTTCGACTTTTACTCAGACTACAAAGCTCCAAATCATTTGAATTCATTTTGTAATATCTACATAGCTTGGAATCACTCCTACAAGGCATAAAGTACACAATTAGTGCAAAACACTAGTGATTGAAGTTCAAACTCAATTAAAATACAGTACATTAGAGTGTAATAAACAACTAAAATACGTAATTATAGTCTATCATCGGTCATTACAAAAAAATCTTTGTAAGAAGTAGAGTTTCAATATCTTTATAAGTACTTAGTTTGAATAAAGATTCTAGTTTTATTGAATTTCTCTTTTTTGAGGTTCCAAGAGAACTTAATCGAGAAATCTCTCACTCTTTTTTATTTTGTAAATATCAATGACCAATATTTAACTAATTGCTTCAACATTTACAAATACAAAATATTGTTTATGACCGGTTGGAATACTCAAGAACTATGACGACCCAAAGGGTCATCACCTGTTTTCTCACTCATTCTGTGTCTCCGAGGCCTTGAAAACCACATTTAGGCTTGCCTCGAATTGCGTGTGCAGTCCGGGCGCATAGCCGGAAAGCTTAAGTATGAATTCTGTGTAAAAATTGATGAATTTTGATATTAATATGAATAAAGTTGACTTTGGTCAACATTTTGAGTAAACGGATCCGGACCCGTGATTGGACAGTCCCGGAGGGTCCGTATAAAAATATGAGACTCGGGCATATGCCCGGAGCCGAATTCCGAGGTCGAGAGCCCGAGAAATGAATTTTTCTGTGAAATTGTTTTTCAGAAATTAATATGGAAATTTGAAAAGGAAACTGATTAGAACGTGTTGGTATCGGGCCCGTATTTTGGTTCCGGCATACCCAGTACAGGTCTTATATATGGTTTAAGATGTTTCTGTGTAATTGGGTCGAAATCGGACGTCGTTTGACGTGTTTCGGACCTAAATATCAAAAGTTGGAAATTTAAGAAGTTTGAATGAAAAGTGATGATTTTGAGGTTTGATTCCTCGTTTATGATGTTATTTTAGCGATTTGATCGCTCGATTAAGTCCGTAAGATGTTGTTGAGTTAGTGTGTGTGTTTGGTTAGGAGCCCCGAGGGCTCGGGAATGATTCGGAGGTGGTTCGGGGTGTTTTGAACTTAGGAAAAAGGATCAGATTTTTCTGCAATTTTGCACAGACTTTTTGTTCTTCGCGGTCGCGGCCTTAGGCTCGCGTTGGCACTGCCTTGGTGTCCCCCTCCTTCCCGTTCGCGGNGAAATGAATTTTTCTGCGAAATTTTTTTTCAGAAATTTAATATGGAAATTTGAAAAGGAAATTGATTATAACGTGTTGGTATCGGGCCCGTATTTTTGTTCCGGCGCCCGGTACAGGTCTTTTATGTGGTTTAAGCGCTTTCTGTGAAATTTGGTTGAAATCGGACGTCATTTGACGTGTTTCGAACCTAAATATCTAAAAATGAAAGTTTATCAAGTTTGATGAAAAAGTGATGATTTTGAGGTTTGATTCCTCGTTTTTGATGTTATTTTGGCGATTTGATCGCACGCTGAAGTTCGTAGGAAGTTGTCGAGTTAGTGTGTGTGTTTGGTTAGGAGCCCTGAGGGCTCGGGAGTGTTTCGGAGGTATTCCGGGAAGTTTTAGAACTTAGAAAATGTTGCAGAAATTCTGCAATAGGTGCCCAGGCATTTCCTTCTTCGCGTTCGCGCCCTCTCTCCCGCGTTCGCGATGCCTTAGATTCTCCTCCTTCGCGTTCGCGTAACTGTACTCGCGTTTTCGTAAGTCTACGGTCCCCCTTCAGCGCATTCGCGTAGGCCAAACTTTGGACCCCAGAATTTTTCCTCTTCGCGTTCGCGCTGCTCCACTCGCGAACGCAATGGTTTTCAATTTCTTCCCTTCGCGAACGCGACCCTACTGTCGCGAACGCGTAGGGTAATTTCACCCAGCGATTTTTAAGCCATAAAAACAGAACAGTGTCGGGTTTTATTCAAAAAATACACGAACCCTTTCTTCTCCAAAGCTTCTAGGAGATTGTTAGGGCATTTCTTCATCAAAGCTTCTTGGGTAAGTATTGTTTAGCTTGTCTCCTTCATTTTCCATCATCATTTATCAAATTCCTAAGCTCAAATCATGTAATCTAGGGTTGAAATTGGGGAAAATGGGTAGAGTTAGGGCTTTTCAATTTTCTTTGATTTAGACCTCGTTTTGGGGTCGAATTCGTAAACAAATTGTATATCCGGGCTCGTGGGGGAATGGGTGATATGAATTTGGTCCGAACCTCGTGTTTTGACCAAGCAGACCCGGGGTCGACTTTTGGAATTTTGGGAAGAAGGCTTGGAAAACTATATTTAGGCATTGGGTTTGATTTGCTTAGCTTATATTAATGTTGTAAAGTCGTTATTTCATAGATTTGATTGAGTTGGAGCCGAATTCGAGAGGGAAAGCGGTCGTTGTAGATTGATTTAGCCGTGGAAGATGAGGTAAGTGTTTGGTCTAACTTTGGCTTGAGGGAATAGGAGTAGAGTCTTATTTGCTAATTGCTATTTGTCGAGTACGGTGTATAGGCATGGTGACGAGTATCTATACACTGGTGTCGAGCATGACCGTGAGTCCTGAATTGCTATATTATCGAATTCTTAATTGTTGTTTATGAGGACTTGGTTGGAAATCTTTAACACGGAGCCAATAATTGATGAGACTGAGTATTGATTTAATTGTGTTAAGTAGAAATTGAGTAAGTTTGGTTATAGGTGGATCTCCCTTGCCGGGATAGTTTATTATATTATCTTGTTCCCNAAAATTTCAGAAGCAGAACATACGGGATTTAGCCATTTTTCTCACGAACCCTCTTCTCCCCAAGCTCTAGGACTCCATTGAAGCCCCCATTCTTCAAGACCACTTGGGTAAGTAAATTCCCACTCATTTCCTTCACTTTTCATTCATTAATTAGTAAGTTCCTAAGCCTAAATCATTTAATCTAGGGTTAAAATTGGGGGAAATGGGTAGAGTTAGGGCTTTTTAATTTTTCTTTGATTTAGACCCCGTTTTGGGGTCGGATTTGAAAATAAATTGTATATTCGAGCTCGTGGGTGAATGGGGGATTTGAAATTGGTTCGAACCTCGTGTTTTGACCAAGCGGACACGGGGTCAATTTTTGGAAATTTTGGGAAGAAGGCTTAGAAAACTAT